TTATGGATTGTATTCATCATTTCGGTCCATATAAATAATTATATGGCACCTACCTATATATCGCAGTACTGCGAGTTGACAACCCTTACAAATATCCCAATTTAACCCTTAACCGTGTCAATTTACCCCGGACGCTGGGTAAATTGGGACGGCCATTATTTTACCGATTATTTCTTTAAAATGAATAATTAAAATAATGCAACGGTTTTTATCATCTAGGTACGTTCAAGACTCAACTTATTTCTTTGGTTGAGCAGTGACTATTTAATTGGAACTATTTTAAAATTCAATCTGAAGGTCGATTTTGTCCCTATTTACCCCATTTTACGGTACCTATCTAAATAAGAAGCAAAAATTCTAAGACATTTTCCGTTCCATTGGACTCTACAGTTGTTTTAATGCTCGATTGGTGACTTGGTGAACTCTTGGCTTGGTTGGTTTGTGGTTTGAGCCTGATGAAACAAGAAAATAACACGAAAAGGAGGTCGGAGGAGACGTTTACATCCATAAGTGCAGCCTGTGAAATAATGACATCAATTTTGCGTTATGTTCAGTGTGGTGCAGATTATTTGGAAAAAATTTAAAGAGCCATTACCCACAAACAAACTGGTGATTAAGACAAAAAATGTACAGTTTTTAAATGTAAATAAAATAAGAGTCAAATTACAAAAGATACATGTTTTTGTATGTCCGGTCTATTTCTAATTTTTGTTCTTTAAAAAAACAGAACTTGAGACATTCTCGTGTGTAACATTTCAATCGAGATAAGGTTTTTTTAAATGTTTTATTTAAAAACAAAAATGCAGGCAACTATGAAACCTTATGTTTGTAAATTCTGTAAAAAATGTTTTGTATTTAAAGAGAACTTTAAAACGCACATGAAAATGCATCCTTCTGAAAAACGTCATGTTTGTGAAGTGTGCGAAAAACGCTTTACACAAATTGGTGAATTAAAAACACACATTAGAATACATACTGGAGAAAAACCGTACATTTGTGAAGTATGTAGAAAAGGTTTTTCCCAAATTAATAGTTTAAAATCTCATATAAGAATACATACTGGAGAAAAACCGTACATTTGTGAAGTGTGTAGAAAAGGTTTTACCCAAATTCATCATTTAAAATCTCATTTAAGAATACACACTGGAGAAAAACCGTACATTTGTGAAGTGTGTCAGAAGTGCTATGCACGAAATTATATGTTGGAAATACACAAAAGAAGTCATACTGCAGAGAAACCTTATGTTTGTGAAGTTTGTAAAAAAATTTTTGTGTTTAAAGAGAACTTTAAAACGCACATGAAAATGCATCCTCCTGAAAAATGTTATGTTTGCGAAGTGTGCGAAAAACGCTTTTCACGAATTGAAGTATTAAAAACACACATTAGAATACATACTGCGGAAAAACCATACGTTTGTGAAGTATGTAGAAAAGGTTTTTCCCAAATTGGTCATTTAAAATCACATCTAAGAATACACACTGGAGAGAAACCTTATGCTTGTGAAGTCTGTGAAAAACGTTTTGCACATAATAGTTCCTTAAGAGCACACAAGAGAGCTCATACTGGAGAACGTTCTCATGTCTGTCCAGAGTGTAGTAAAGGCTTTAAATGCCTCCCTAATTTGAAAATTCATATGAGAACACATACTGGAGAGAAACCTTATGTTTGTGATGTATGTGAAAAAAGTTTTACAAGAATGAATCAATTAAAAGTCCACATGGCAACACATACGACAGAGAAACCTTATGTTTGTGATATGTGTAAAAAATCTTTTGCACATCTGAGTTATTTAAAAAAACATATTACAAGACACTGCCCAAAAACTTTGTTTGTGAAGTGTGTAAAAAAGTCTGAGACTTTCATTGTTTAAAAATACAGATGATAACACAACAGTGGCGTAGCGGGGGGGGGGGGATATAATTTCACATTACTTAATAAAAATATTTGAACCATTTCATATTTTTATTACAGCTACAATATTATACATAGCATTAATGATTTCATGCAGACAATTTCTAATGTCAATAATTATTATGTCATGACACCATGCAAATCAGAAAATATATTTTATACTATTGACATTAATTGCATGATAAAAAATAAATGTATTATTATGAAAAAACCTAACAAATACTATTTAGGTAACTACAATTTTAGACAAGTAGCAAACTCGCTACATTATTTTTACACATTTATCTAGCCATGAATTTGGCTAATTAACCTACTGCTTCTTTTGAGCAGGAGAAAAATATGACATTTATTAATTTGGAATCCGTTCCAAGTAATTTAAATTAAATACTTAGACAACAGAGTTTACCTCTTGCAGTAAACATGATTTATTTGGACACAACCCATCAACAAATAATGTTTCTTTGAAAACAACTGTGATCAACCTGGTGCATCAGAACTTACAAGGTTTGATGGGTAAAAAACTTGAAATTGATTTGTTCCTAGATTTTAATAAAGTCAATGTTCTATGTGTAACTGAACATTGGCTTAAAAAATATGAATTAAATTGTAATTTTAAAAATCACCAGGTTGTGAGTTCCTTCTGCAGAGAATATGCTATACGAGGTGGCTCACTGATCATTGTTAATAAAGATTATAAATGTAAGGAACCTAGAGACATTGTGAGCCTCTCTGTGGAACGGATTATTGAAATCCGCAAGATCTTAGAACTTATATCTCGAGGTGGGTGGCGCATTTACGTTGTAGATGTCTATGGGGTCCAGTAACCACTTAACACCAGGTGGGCTGTGAGCTCGTCCATCCATATAAGCAATTAAAAAAAAAACTTTTACTTTTATTCATATAATAAATTATTTTAGTGTTCAACGCGACTCCGTTACCTCCTGTAGTAAATAGAAATTGAAATTTCAAAAAGCAAAAATAAATAAAACAAAACGATGTTAGTTCACAAAGCTATAACGGGACAAATTACTTTATTTGTTGGCAAATAAGGTTCATTTAACATTAAAGGTTGTTTAATATATGCCTTTTCGTTTGTAAGTGACAGGAGTAATTTATTGCTTTGTGACGAATGATCGTAAGTATTAGATAATGTTTAGGAGATTTGGAACTTTATTACTAGGTGGCATAGTTGTAATTAGTTTGAACTTAAAACTGTTTCTAAACTTTTTTCTCCGTTTGTTGTAAACCAACGTAGCTATGTACGTGTATATTCACGCGGACAGTTTTTGCTTCGATTTTGTACGTGTTCCTTTATCTAGTTACAATTGTTTATCGAAGTTCTCTATATATAAAAATGAATTGCTGTTCGTTAGTCTCGCTAAAACTCGAGAACGGCTGGACCGATTTGGCTAATTTTGGTCTTGAATTATTTGTAAAAGTCGAGGAAAGGTTTAAAAGGTAGCTAAATATGAAAATGCTCGGAATTAAAAAAAAATACAATTTTGTTTTTCCTCTGATGCGTCCCCCGTCGGACGGATTCCTTTCATTTGTTTTAAGTTTATTTTATACAAAAGTTTAGGTCTTTTGTTTATCGATTGAGGCACTACGAAGTCTGCCGGGTCAGCAAGTTATAAATAAATAGACATTTTAGGTAAGTATGTGCTTATGTTGTTCTAATCATACTAGAACATACATGAAATAAAAAAAGAAATAAAAAAAAACTTCAGAGGTGTCAAGGGACACCCGGATGAAACGAAGTTCCTTTCGATTAATTAGTGAAGGAATTGTAATTTTTTTTTAAGTTATAATAATAAATTACGGCATTATGAAGAAGAAACTACTAGAAGAAAATACTATGAACTAAATTACTATTGTTGAAACGTTATCTCGAGAAACTGTACTCATTACGCGGACCAATCGGATACGAGCAATGTCACGCGATAAGCGCCTACACGTTGATTGGTCAGAATGACGGATCTAAAAAGTGTCGTGACAACTTTTCGTAAGAATTTTTTCCGTCTAGCCCCCTTTCACAACGCGCGATAAGGAACTTCGTTCCAATAATGTTAATCACGTTCTGTCAACGTGTCCACCACACGATCACTTTTTCTATATTGCTCATCTATTTTATTCACATTTTGGCACAGTTTATTTCAGTCAGTGGCAGCCATCAAATTTACTTTTTATCTGATCAGGTCGGCCACAGCCTTAAAGCTCCAACTAACATACTTGCTGATAACACGAAAATACAGATTGTTTATAATTGATGTTATTTTTTATTTTATCTGTATTATTGGCTACTTTAATACCTAACACTGTTTATATTTTCATTCATGATAAATACTTACCGGAAACAATATAAATTAAATGAGGTTGATAAAAAAAAATGTGTGGCTAATAAAATTGAATGAAAGTGTAGTTTGCTGCAGTGATGCGCGTGCACAACACATGGAACCAATCACAGCTGACGGCACGTGACGCGACGCGGGAAGATTCAATTACGTAATGAACATGGCCGGTGCCGCCTCCACTTGCCTCATTAACCCAAACAAACCCAAAAATCGACTTCTGCATATGTCAAGGTCAGATCTCAAGACTCCTGCCGATTATTATAATACTATACCTTTTGTTTGTTTCACCTCTCATCGGACGAACAAAGAGAACTAAGCACATACAGGTGGTTGTAGGTTACTGGTGGTAGGACTCTTGTGAGTACGCGCGGGTAGATTACACCACCCTGCCTATTTCTGCCGTGAAGCAGTACTGCGTCTCGGTTTGAAAGGTAGGACAGCCGTTGTAACTATACTGAGACCTTAGAACTCATATCTCAAGGTGGGTGGCGGTATTTACGTTGTAGATGTCTATGGGCTCCGGTAACCATTTAACATCAGGTGAGCTGAGTGAGCTCGTCCATCTATCTACGCAATGACCTAAAATTATTGCTGTAGTAAAACGTGGAGACATCGATAGCATTTTTTTATCAGCTTTAAATAAAATACTTTTTGTGATTTTGTAGTGCTTACAGTTCTTTCGTCCTTTTTTAATTCTCTATGTTATTCTAATAACTTTCAGCGCCTTTTTTAAAATTTACCCGGTTGCTACTGTAGCGCCACCCTTATTTGAGTCGTCTATTATCAAAGGTGGCATTCTGTGCATTTGGACAAAAAAATGTTATTGATATGTCAATACAGATTGATTTGAATATAATCGTCTCCTTCAAATAATACGGTTCAAAACCTGCATTAAATAAAGGTTAATACTTAACCTGTTATTTATCTAAGATGTCGATCAGAAGAGTTTTGTGACTGCCAATGGAATACAAAGACAATAATTCGTTTTTCTGATTTACCAATAATTGTCCAAGTCACATTGCCGGCTTTGATAATAGTCGACTCATTTAGCAGATTTTAACGGACACTTTTTCACACCAGAGACCTCCTTACCTCTACCCTCCACAATCCTGAGTGAATGATATAAAAGATATATCACTCACAGTGATAGAATGTATCACCAACTCACACTAGCTCCGAATGTATCAGTAACTCAGTTCTAGCTCACTAGATCACCTAATGTCGAACCGGAGGGTCGACATTAGGCAGGCAGTCGGTAGGACAGCTTATACCAAGTCCCTTTGCAGAATGAGGAGTGGTCATGCTGAACCGATCTCACATAATGCAGGATGAGAGCAAGAAGATTATGTATACATTGAAAAAAAAATCTCAAAGAAATACATTTAATAATATAGTTATCTATACATACACATATACTTTACAAAATTAACAAAATATTATCTCTTATTACAATTAAGTATTACACTTAATTCGATATGAGTATGTAATAAAATACTTATAAACAAAAACGTTCTGTTAGACAGAAGATTGAATTGTCAGAATATAAAAAAAAATTACAGGGCGCAATGAATGTTTAATGAATGGACAAAGGATTATAATCCTCGTAATGTGACTACTAAAGTAATGCCAACCAGACGAGATAAAAAATGTAAACAAAGTTTCAGGAGTAAAAAACATTTTTATTTAAATAAATGATTACAAAGTTCGAATTTTAATCGCTGTCATCTGTACTAGACAAAGATGATTCGTCGGAAGAGTCCGAGTCAGCTGTGTTTATGATAAAACTATCTATTGTATTATCAATCATGCTGTCAATATTGCTATAAAAATTGTCCTCGACTTTTATAACAGGATCCACACAATTCAAACAGGAATGAACTTGTTCACAAAATGGCGGACCAAATGTTGACAACTGCGGTACTCAGTGCTTTCCTGTACCACGAAACACACAACGACAGCTGTTGTCGACCAACTGACGCCATAACTGCGCGTACGAGTGATAAGGACAGAGATCATAATCCCTCGCTATCGCAATGTAACTCAGTAACGGTCCGCTTGTTTACGTTTATTATCTCGTCTGGTTGGCCTAAGTTTACACTATAGACATGCACACCGGCAATGGAAAGCGTAGAAATCGACCTCCGCAGGAAATATGTGTTGCCTAAAACGTAAATGACATAATAATAATATTGTAATATGTTCATAGTTTTGATTTAACACAATTTATAGGGGCGGTAGAATGCTTTTGTTGAACGCAGTTTTGTATGCTTTTCATTGCGGCGTCGCGAAATTGTCCACTTTTTGCCCGTACACGAATCGTAAGCTCGGTAACGTAGGTAGCTATTAATATTTTGGCACACTCATGATGTGTCGTTTTTTATTGATTTAACAATCCAAAAAAAAAAAAAAAAAACAAGAGATTCTTTAATTGACGAAAACGCTTGCTTAATCAACCAACATGAAAATTAAAAAAAAAAACAAAAGAAATACTTAAAGATGCAATCCACCAAGACCAGTAGCTTTTTTTTTAAAAACCCGTTTATAGCAATCGGCGGATACCCTCAACTTAAATTTTAGTGCCATGTCATTCTAACTGTCAACTAAGTATTGGCACACGACAAATTGAATAGTGTCCTTTTTGTCCTTGCAATAACAACTACGGACTAGACCAGTGATTCTCAACCTTTTTTTTTGTTGCGGCACATATTTAACGATTTCAAAATTTGGCGGAACACAAAAAAAAAAGGATAAAAATTATTTACTTACTACAACACACTGCATAAATAGTTTATCAAAAAATTTTAATATACGAAATAAACTATAATATACTATATATTTTTTTTTGTGAGTTTAAATATATATTCATGTTTAAAATATTTTTCTTTTAAAATGATATAATTTAAAAATATTAACATTATTATATATTCGCAAAATTTGGCGGCACACAAAAGTGCAGGAGCAGGAGCGCGGAACAGTGGTTGAGAATCACTGCACTAGACAAACAGATGTAACGCTTACATCCATATTACGTTATCGCAACGAATCCCGCGATAGCGAACTGACAAAGTCGTCAACTGAATTGAATATTTTACTTGTAAGTTAGTGATGTTAATAAAAATGTATTTATACTGGTGGTAGGACGTATTGTGAGTCCGCACGGGTAGGTACCGCCGCCCTGCCTATTTCTGCCGTGAAGCAGTAATGCATTTCGACTTGAAGGGCGGGGCAGCCGTAGTAACTATAGCGAGACCTTAGAACCCATATCTCAATGTGGGTGGCGGCATTTACGTTGTAGATGTCTATGGGCTCCTGTAAGCACTTGACACCAAGTGGACTGAGATCACCCACCCGTCTAAGCAATAAAAAAATGTTCAAGGGCATCCTCCATGTTCACAGCAGATTAAGTAGTGTCATTGTTTGGTGTTTATTGGGAGTAAAATTATTGTTGGCAACATTGCTAACACAAGACTAGTTGCATGTGCATGAGGTTGGCAACATGTTCGCTCTCTTGTTGTAACTACAGAAAAACGGAATGAACGTATCTTTCAAAAGTTCGACTTTTATTATAAATGGCAAGGACAAAACCTCAGGACGAGAAATAAAGGCTAGCAGCTCAATTACTTCCCTACATTATAAGTTCGATAATCACCCTAACGAGCTCTAGTAAGCGCGCGCTCAAAATGAAACAGGTTTAATGACCTCACCGCGCTCACACTCGGCACCATAGACAAAGTCGCCTCCGAAAAACCGCTTGCGTATTTGAGTCGTCTATTATCAAAGGTGGCAATCTGTGCATTTGGACAAAAAAATGTTATTGATATGTCAATACAGATTGAGTTGAATATAATCGTCTCCTTCAAAGAATACGGTTCAAAACCTTTGGTGTGATCAAGTGTCCGAGCAACTGGACACTAGACTGAGACATGCACTTCACTGTGCCTCTGACCGACATAAGTGGCTACATCGCCCAAAAAAAGGTCATAGAGGCACGCATCCCGCATCATCAATGAGCAATCGAAGGAAGAGGATGTCTACATCTTAGCTGTTAACGCCAAGACGACTTCAAACGCGAACTGCTGTATGCACATGCAATGACTGTTCATCTAATACCTTTAAACGAGCAATTCTTGTATATATATAATCTGAATCTCGGAAACGGCTCCAACGATTTTCATAAAATTTGCATTAAATAAAGGTTAATAGTTAACCTGTTATTTATCTAAGATGTCGTTCCGAAGAGTTTTGTGACTGCCAATGGAATACAAAGTCAATAATTCGGTTTTCTGATTTACCAATCATTGTCCAAAAGTCAGATTGCCGGCTTTGATAATAGTCGACTCATTTATAGTAATCTCAGTCTTTCTAAAGTTCCCCAATACATTTAGTCGTTACACACATCCATACAAGTTATAGATATTATGTAGTGCGCGCTTCCCCGGGGGTATGCCTTTTCTAAGCGTCATCAAAAATTTAAGATTCTCAATTCGATTGTTTTTTTTATGTGTGCCTTAGAACCTCAAAGGTTTACTCAAGGTTTTTATTTCAGCGTGTTGATTTTTTTCCTCTTAATTCTTGAATATAGTCAATCCGTAGCCGTCACGCATGACGACTAACGATTCTTATTCGCAAGCGTCTAATCCGTTCCAATTTTTACGTTACATATTCATTAATGAAAAAACTTTCCGATTAAATTAGGATTTTATTTCCTTTATAAAAACTACAGTCTTAGAACACGAGTCCGAGTCATTGAATCCGTTGACGAGAGACATATACACGTCAAAAATGACATCTGTCAAACGTTGCCGCACGTCAATGTTAAACCGAATCTAACCTCCAAATTTGAACTCGACACTAGTTTTTTAAGAGATTTTATGACCTGGTAACTAAGACCTTTAAGTCATGTCTTATTTTAATTTATATTCTTAATTTTATGAAAAATGATAATATGGAGTGAAATGAAATGAAGATGATTAATTTGAGACATTAATCAACTGGGATGAAATTTAATGAAATGAGATGATATGGGATGAAATATAATCGCAGTAAAATGGTGGTCATTTACTAAGATTTTTTCAGTGGACTTTTTGGAGGAACCCGAGAAGTTACGTCCAGCAGCTTTGTTTCATTTTCCCACATTTGTGCACATTCACAGATATTAAACAGTTAATAAACCACCATTATTACACATTTAAACCCGAAGAAACACTAAATAGACAAAATAAAACAAATCACACAACTTCACTCCTCGCGTTCCCGCCAAAAAGTAACTCGACACTAGTCTCATCAAACATTCTTAGCTACTCACTTAATTCTTAGTGAATATCTGTGACCTTGCTCGTAATCACATTTAGGCTACTATATTAAATGCGTACTAAATACATATTTGAGTCGTCTATTATCAAAGGTGGCAATCTGTGCATTTGGACAAAAAAATGTTATTGATATGTCAATACAGATTGATTTGAATATAATTGTCTCCTTCAAAGAATACGGTACAAAACTTGCATTAAATAAAGGTTAATACTTAACCTGTTATTTATCTAAGATATCGTTCAGAAGAGTTTTGTGACTGCCAATGGAATACAAAGTCAATAATTCGTTTTTCTGATTTACCAGTAATTGTCCAAAAGTCACATTGCCGGCTTTGATACTAGTCGACTCATTTGTCATATACTTAAATTGGTACATCAATCTACTATCACAACAATTAATTTATTTACCTAGTTCTATTATAGTTACAAAAAAAAAAACACCGATACAACTGGTGAATAGTCACTTACACTGTAATACACTGAAAATAAGTGATATAGTACTTTAACTTCTTAGAGGAGGACAGTTACTAAGTTTTACGGGAATTTACAAATTTAAGTTAAGTCTATTCTAATGGTCTGTAAGTCTTTATCAATTCCTTCCTCAGACTCTGCCTCTCTGAGCGGGTCAAGCCTTTAGCTTTTGTTATTATATGGGCGCCCTTCTTCGATGGATCCGGTATGTATGAAGTTGATGTCTCCTGTGATGAGAGAAAACTTTAATGATACTTCCAATTAAAAGCAGTCACTCGTGACAGTCTGAACAACAGACAGTCTTGTAACAATGGAGGAATTACCAGAGGAACGTTACACTGTCCCTTCTATTACTACCGCAAAGTAGTAGGGCCATTTGATTTTAACAGTAACCGATATGCAATACAATATTCCTTTACTAGTCTTACTGTTCTTAATACGTCCTAGCGTCTTGTGAGTCCGCGCGGGTTGGTACCACCACCCCGCCTATTTCTGCCGTGAAGCAGTAATGTCTTTCGGTTTGAAGGATGGGGCAGTCGTTGTAACTATACTGAGACCTTAGAACTTATAAGTTGCCGCCACCCACGCCATCTTGTTTTTAACATTGCACCGCCCGTCCCCGGAGTAGAGTTCATCCATACTACCTGGGCCACTGCGGTCATGCACAGTGCGTTTCCAGAGATTTTTTTGCCACGTCCCACTCGGCATTGGAATGAGCTCCCCACCACGGTGTTTCCCGAGCGCTATGACATTTCCTTCTTCAAACGAGGCTTGTGGAGAGTACTTAACGGTAGCAAGCGGCTTGGCTCTGCCCCTTGCCATTGCTGAAGTCCATGGGCGACGGTAACCACTCACCATCAGGTGGGCCGTATGCTTGTCCGCCTACAAGGGCAATAAAAAAAATGTCTATGTGCTCCGGTAATCACTTAACACCAAGTACGCCGAGAGTTCGTCCACCCACTTAAGCAATAAATAAAAAAAAACAATTTAGAAGACAATCTAATCTTTCACAGTAGTATATCGGACACCAGATAGGCCTTTTTTTATTGCTTGGGTGGGTGGGCGATCTCACAGTCCACCTGATGTTAAGTGGTTAGTGGAGTCCATAGACATCTACGACGTAAATGCGCCACCCACCTTGAGATATAGTTCTAAGGTGCTAAGTATACTTACAACGGCTGCCCCACCCTTCAAACCGTAAATACGCAAATTATAATTTTGCGGGTTTGATTTTTATTACACGATGTTATTCCTTCACTGTGGAAGTCAATCTTGAACAATTGTTGAGTACGTATTTCATTAGAAAAATTAGTACCCGCCTGCGGGATTCGAACACCGGTGCATCGCTACATACGAATGCACCGGACGTCTTATCCTTTAGGCCACGACGACTTCAAAAACCATTTTACCGGTTACCGCTTAAATTGTTTACTGCTCCTCTGTATATACTAACCTCTAGCACTAGTACTCACATATATTTCACATATATTAGCACTAGTTTTCACTGGCGGTAGGACCTCTTGAGAGTCCGCACGGGTAGGTACCACGACCCCGCCTATTTCCGCCGTGAAGCAGTAATGCGTTTCGGTTCGAAGGGTGGGGGTAGCCGTTGTAACAAACTGAGACCTTAGAACTTTATATCTCGAGGTGGGTGGCGCATTTACGTTGTAGATGTCTATGGGCTCCAGTAACCGCTCAACACCAGGTGGTCTGTGAGCTCGTCCATCCATCAATGCAATAAAAAATAAAATAAAAAATATGTTCATTTCAACAAGCTGGTATATATACTATTACAAATATGGACCTACAGACATCGGCAAATGCTACTCATTCAGGTAGACAGTCAGCTTGCCTGCTTGTCATATACTATAATAAATAGATAATAGTTTAAAAAAACTAACAAAATACGCTTTTATAGAAAATCCAACTAAAAAATTTAAAATAAATTTGAATTAAAAATAGTGTAAGATAAAATGATTTTATTGTAAAAAAGCGTGGGGTGCTTTTCAGGATATTATCAAAATAACCTTTCTACTCATATCTGTTCATAAAATATTTATAACTACTGATAAAATGTACCCCACGCTTTTTTTTACAATAAAATAATTTTTTCTAACACTATTTTTAATTCAAATTTATTTTCAATTTTTTAGTTGGGTTTTCTATAAAAGCGTATTTTGTTAGTGTTTTTAAACTATTATTTATATTTCATTTTTTAGTTAAATTTCAATTTTTTCAATATTCTTTTAATATTGAATTGTCATTGGTCCTGTATAAGTATAGCAAATTTCGAATTAATCCGACGTTTTGAAGGGGGTCAAAATCATTGTTCAAAGATTCCGTTACAAACATACATACGTCTGAAGCTAATAAAAGCATAATAAAATACGTCTGTCAGTCAGTACTCACGTCGTCCCAGTTCTCGTCGCTCGGCAGCACCGGTGTGGCATGGACTTCCACTGTAGGTCTGTACTCGTCATCCGTGATGTACAGCTGTGTGTCCAGCATGTGACGTTTAGGGCACACCGTTACATGGAACTGTTGACAATAAGACGGCTGGTAAGAGAAGAGATAATAACGGAAAAGAGAAAGTGAATGTCATAGTGAACAACAATGGGTACATAATTTCTATTTGTCCTAACTGGCACGAGAAACAACATCGAGAATCTTTCGTTAAATGGCAATATCCGATACTGAAACAAAATTGGGAGACCACTTGAATATTCTAGAATATTTTTTTAAGTGTTCCAGTTGTATCGAGAGTGACCTGAGAATCTTATATCTTTAAACGAGCAATTCTTGTATAAAATATATATGAGTCGTCTATTATCAAAGGCGGCAATCTGACTTTTGGACAATGATTGGTAAATCAGAAAAACGAATTATTGACTTTGTATTCCATCGGCAGTCACAAAACTCTTCGGAACGACATCTTAGATAAATAACAGGTTAACTATTAACCTTTATTTAATGCAGGTTTTGAACCGTATTCTTTGAAGGAGACGATTATATTCAAATCAATCTGTATTGACATATCAATAAAAAATTTTTGTCCAAATGCACAGATTGCCACCTTTGATAATAGACGACTCATATATAATCTGAATCTCGGAAATGGCTCCAACGATTTTCATATAATTTAGTATACAGGGGATTTCGGGGGCGATAAATCGATCTAGCTACGATTTATTTTCAGAAAATGTGGTTTTATTCGTGTTTTCAATAATCAACTCTTCCCAACATCTATTGGCGAATAATTATACTATTTTTCTTAATTGAGGGCAACTAATCAAGATGGCGTTAGTCATCGTCTAGTGTTATCAATGTGAGCAAGAAGACTATATAGTGATATAGGTGGTGACTACGTAATTAGAGGTGAAGTTAATCATGAACATACATGAATAAAATATATACTTCTTCCTTCACACATAAGTTACATACAAATATACAAAATTAGAATATTTATACAAATTAATCTAAACTTAACAATTAGAGCTTTTTATACTAACTATATTCAGATACACAATTCTCCTTAATGTTTAATTTTATACTTAATTTTATTCTTCATTTTATACTTAAACTAAAATTCTTTATTTTTTGCATAATTATTATTTATATATATATATTATGTTATATTCAGATTATGTTTGACTCTCGTGGTATTAGAAATTGTATAAGCAATACAATTTTTTTTTTTGCCTGTCCCAATACCGTGTCCCCTCTTTATGATATCCTTCTAAAAGACACCTCCCGGCCTATTAATATTAATTCTCTATAAACTTTACTATATGCTAAACATGTAAATATTCTATATAAATTTTTATCTACTAATAATATTCATCTTTAAAGTAGTTAGTCTAATATATTTAAAATCACAGATTCACATTTATGGAAAAACTGATCAAATTTATTTGTATTTAGATTATTTTATTGTCTAAGCACCTGTCATTTTTGTACATACTGTGACATTGGCAAAATCAATGCTTAAGGAGTCAAATTTATTATATAATATAAATAATTATATAAAAGTATAAATAATTTACTTAATTATATATAAATTTTACTGATGGTAGGACCTCTTGTGAGACCGCACAGATATTGTTGTATGATTATATTTTTGTATATTTGTATGTAACTTTCATACCTGTGGCTTCTAGCGTCGTTAAGAGGGTACAACAAAGAAGAAGATGTATATATTTATATTTTTTTCCTGTATGATTCGTGATTATGTTTACCTCTAATTATGTAACCAACTTCCAAATAAAAAGAAAAATCCAGCAGGCAGCATCTTTACTCTGCCCCTGGTATTGTTATAAGCGGCGGAAACCATTCTCTATGAGGTGGACCGTCGGCTTGTCTGTCTATAAGGGCAATAAAAATAATTGTTCCACATAATTAAAGTTTATAATAGTATACTGGTGGTAGTACCTCTTGTGAGTCCGCACGGGTAGGTACCACCACCCCGCCTATTTCTGCCGTGAAGCAGTAATGCGTTTCGGTTGGAAGGGTGGGGCAGCCGTTGTAACTATACTTGAGACCTTAGAACTTATGTCTCAAGGTGGGTGGCGCATTTACGTAGTATATGTCTATGGGCTCCAGTAACCACTTAACACCAGGTGGGCTGTGAGCTCGACCACGCATCTAAGCAATAAAAAAAAGAAAGTTGAAAATAAACTCACATCGAGTTCCACATCATTAACGACGTGTGTAGCATCAAACGGGCACTGCACTTTGTTACAAGCCGGATGTTGTTTGCGGCACTTCTGCAGGTGTATGTGCATCCTGTAGTGTTCTACTATATGCGCCTTCTCGTATGGGCATGTTATCATTTGATTAGGCTTCGGGTTCGCGATCCTGTTGAAATTATTTAGGTAGTTTTCCAATTACAGAGCATAATGCGACTCAGTGACGCACAATGCCGAATTATGCTGAAGCTTAGTTGGATCGTGAATTAGTTTTCAAATGCATCAGCAGAGTGCGCTAAGTTAGCACAGTTTTAATTAACATTGATTATTTCTAAGAAACTACGACGAAACTAAAGTCTTACAATTTTTTTCAACATTAAATAATATTACTAACGATAATATAAACAAAATTTCGATCAATGCCAACTTAAAGAAAAAACACTTGTTAATTTTCTGTCACTGAGTCTGTATCGATTGCACGCATCACCCACAAACATTACTTTTGAGAGTGCTCGATTGTGCGAAGCGTTGCTGTAGTTGAAACATACAACGTTAAGCATTATGCCCCATAATGCGCTCTTGTGCTGTAATTGGAAAACTCCCTTAATTACTCAAGCCATATGCCCATTGGTATCCTACTGTCTAACTGCAGTAACAGCATTTGCACATGGTTTTTTCAAAGATGTAATAATTTTACATACAACTGTAATGTTGGCATTGTGTTGAAGCACTTAACGTTATTAGATTGTGAAGAAAATAACTTAGTCTGTGGTAATTTACAAACAGATCATCTATGACTGTTCAGAAAGTCATGCTTGATCTAGTGTTGGTGGTAGGACGTATTGTGAGTCCGCACGGGTAGGTACCACCGCTCTGCCTATTTCTGCCGTGAAGCAGTAATGCATTTCGGTTTGAAGGATGGGGCAGCCGTTGTAACTATACTAAGACATTAGAACTTATATCTCCAGGTGGGGGCCGAATTTACGTTGTAGATGTCTATGGGCTCCAGTAACCGCTCAACACCAGGTGGGCTGTGAGCTCGTCCACACATCTAAGCAAAAAAAAAAACATTTTCATAACTTAATCCATAGATTAAATTTAAAGAGCATCAATTATTTACGGAAACATTTACAAAGCACTCCGGGTGTGTAGTTAATACACTTTTTTTTAAAACATTGCCGTTTGATACGAAAATGTTGTTTGAGTGGCCCAATATCAACGCAATGAAAATACCGTCAGCGACTTGAAAATGGACGGCGAAATCTGAATCTTGTAATTTGATAAAATCGGACTCCATTAAACTTCTTTGCAATAGAATTAGGAGGGACTGTGAAGCATGATTATTTATAACGTAAAAATAACTCAATTTAATAATTTAATTTACATTTGAACACCCATTTAGATTAGTACCCGCCATTTCATAACAGAAATATTTATTTAGTTTTTAAGTAGTGTGTATCAATCAATATGGCATTTAAAAAATTAAAATAAATAAGGATAATTAAAAAAATACTAACGTAACCTCCATTTTCTGAAATTTAATCTTAACGTGCTTCTATTCTAGTACCTGAGAAGTCTCAACAAGTAATTTCCTAGAAATTAATAATTCTAATGTGAGAGATCATTTTAGTAACATTTGACGTCTGTCAGTTTTATCTTCATAGTGAGTGACCTGCTTATAAACATCGATTAAAGTGAATGACTCGATACGGACTTGAAACATTGGTAGTTTTCCAATACAGAGCATACAGTGACTCAGTGACGCACAATGCCGAATTATGCTGAAGCTTAATTGGAACGTGAATTAGTTTTCAAATGCATCAGCAGAGTGCGCTAAGTTAGCACAGTTTTAATTAACATTGATTATTTCTAAGAAACTACGACGAAACGAAAGCCTTAAAAAATTTTTTCAACATTATCTATCTCTTAGGTTTATGGCGTTTTTTTCAACATTAAATAATATTACTAACGATAATATAAACAAAATTTCGATCAATGCCAACTTAAAGAAAAAACACTTGTCAATTTTCTGTCAATCAGTCGGTATCGATTGCACGCATCACGCGAGAGCAGTACTTTTGAGAGTGCTCGATTGTGCGAAGCGTTGCTGTACTTGGAACTTTCAACGTTGAGCATTATGCCGCATAATGCGCTCTTGTGCTGTAATTGGAAAACTACCATAATATGATAATTTTAAAAATCATCAGGCGAATCTCTATCCCATTATTATTTTTCTTTCATAAATTTAAAGAGCAAAATAAGGCAAGTACATAATTTACCAAAATATTTATTCAGTTAAACTATCAAAATATACAAAAAAGTTATCATTAAAATTAAAATAAGACTTGACCTAAAGGTCTTTGTTACCAGGTTCTAAAATCCCTTTAAAAAATGGCTCTAATGCCATTTGCCAATGTCAAAATAATAAACAAAAAAAAATGTGATTTTAATTTTAATTTCTCTAATAAAGCGGGTGCAATTAGAACTAAAAAATATTAACATGGAGCAAGTATTTCAAGAACCCGTTCAACTGTCTAAAGGAATAAATCTGAGGTAAGCTCAAAACAACTTTGGTAGTAATCAAACAAGTGGTTTGATTTGGTTAAGAAAACTTTGCACAAAAGCGGCGTTCGTACTGGTGTTACTGGTGGTAGGACCTCTTGTGAGTCCGCGCGGGTAGGCACCACTGAGACCTTAGAACTTATATTTCAAGGTGGTGGCGCATTTACGTTGTAGATGTCTATGGACTCCTGTAACCACTTAACACCAGGTGGGCTGTGAGATCGTCCACCCATCTAAGCAATAAAAAAAATCGGTTTCGAATTAAATGTTATAAGTTGGTCTCAGACAATTAGAGATCTGGTGGTAGATTCTAGGAAGCACAGTGGGCCAGTGTTAGCAACACTGTGGCTTAAGCCCCGTGAGCTCACCTACACGTTAGGGCGAAGCTGAAATAGCCTCTCAAGGCTATCAGCATAGGTAGAAAAAAAAAAGAATTTGTATAATTTCTCATGAGCCGAGTTTATACCACGACATATTATTTTGTGAATACCTACCGATTAAGGAGAATGATTATCCTCGCACTTATCAAATCAAATCAAAAAATTTTTATTCAACATAAATGAAAGTACATACTTGTTGAACGTCAAAAGAACTACCGCCAATTCACAAGAACTAGCCTCCGTCCTGAGAAGAATTGGCAAGAAACTCAGCGGGCATGTCTTTTTTTTTTTAAATATTAGTTTTTTTTTTAAATATTAGTTTTATTTTTTATTTTATTACAACAACAAAAAATTAATGGTCGTTTCAAGATATCTTGGTAGAATTCATGGTCCATCGACTACTCCTGTTCTTACTTAAGAGTAAGCTGAAGCTCTATTGCGACTGGTCAAAATAGTGTTAATAGACTTATATTTTTACTACGGTATGATTTTTCTATGTAAAACGACATTCTCAACTGCCGTTTTGCCTATGACTTGAGGGCATTTGACGAAATTGTGTGCTGTTCTAGGTACAGTCTTTGCTATATTAATTACATATTACAGATAAATGTTTTTGATGATAGTATCAAATCCCATTATTCATTTAATTAGCTCGGAATTAAAATAGTTTCTACTCTGACGTCTTTCTATATATACTTACATATTTAAGTCTAACAAATTTATAACCACATAATTTTCACGAGCCCTTTATAGGATTCATTGGGTCCGATCTGAACAGCAACTGATGCTTAGAATGCCTAAGAGCACCGATAGTCGATTTGCAGAATCTGAATTGATATCATCATTGTTCTAAATTAGCTGTGGAATGTAACCTTATGTAACGGAATAGGTTCTATAATTGAAAATTTGTTTTCTGATCTACAGAGAGCTCACATCAGAAATGGAGTTTCAGATTGATGTGGACTTTCAAAACAGAAAAACGGAGATGTTCATCAACGGTGATGACGATTTGTTTCCTGAAATGGGTGACGAGGATGACAGGTGATGTTGCAACCCTAAACTTGCTTAGTTATTAGTATCTCATACAAGTAGGTACTGCCATGGGCTTAGTCAGCTTTCATACTGTAAAATTGAAACTTCAGTCTTCATGACCTCTTCAAACCTCTTGAGATGAGTTGTCAATGCTTATGCCACTTAAACCAGGCCAGGAGCCGGAGCTATCATCTATCTACATAGAAATAAAAGAAACGGAAATAGTGAATGTAGATTGTGATTAATTTAATAATAATAATAAACATTTATTCCAAACATAAATTTACAAAAAATTAAACAAAAATTAAAAGAAAAATAACAAGGCTTGGAAACGGTTACCGGCTCAGCAATGCCTAACAGTACCGAGACAATCGGTACTGGGGCGTTGATCTTCCGCCGGCACCTGCGGAGGGACGTGCACACCAGCATCACACCGACCAATCACTGTCTGAGCTTAGAATAATAACAACAAAAACCATAACTACAATAACAATAATAAAAACAACGAAATACATATCGACGCTTGAAAGGCAAACGTGACTAAGCGACAATGCGTGAACTTTACAGTAGACTAATTACCTGAAAACTAAATTTATTTTAACGAATCTAGCTGTAGTAGAATCTAGCTAGTAGCTGTAGGATTGAAATGATTTTAATAGACCTAGAAATATATTTTTTTTGCGCATCGAATATGGTTATTGCCTATCATTTATGTACAAAGCAGTTATTGTCGCTTAGTCACGTTTGCCTTTCAAGCGTCGATATATTGAATTATAAAAATGTACAATTGCAATGCACAATTACAGTGCGGAATAATTAAAATTGATATTTTCGAATTTCATTTGCATATTTAAGTGCAAAGCTCACAAAAACCAATGAAAAGTAAACGTATCTTTTACACAGTGATGGAGAGGATACACTCAGAAATATTGAGGAGACAACTAAAAAGATGATGCTGGCCTCACCAGATTACTTGTCTTTTGAGGAGTTGGGCGCCAATATGATAGACTGCATGAGCACTGGTGATGTGAAAATGCTCATCATAGAAGAAGGTAACTACCGCCACACTACTTTCAAAATTTACAATACTCATAAAGTGTTCAAATTGAACATTCAAACTTAAAATTGATTCTAAAGTGTCGAAAGTGATAGGTTAGTGACACAGTGGTCAACAGTAAGATTCACTAGTAAAGAGTTCGTGATCTGGATTCAAATGACAGCTGTTCAAAATCAAATTCAAAATCATTTATTTCAACTTAGACACCAGTATGACACACTTGTTGAATGTCAAAATAAAAATAACAATATGAACTCTACCATCGGTTCCAAAAAAGCCACAGAACCGGCAAAAGAAACTCAGCGGGCTTTTTTTTGTTTTTTGTTTTTTCTCAAAATACTTCCTTTTTTTTTTTAAATAAATAAAAATATTTACAATAAAGGAAAAAACAAGTCAAAAAATACAATTAAAATAATATACACTTAACAATCACAATTAAAATTAAGTAGTTATTCCAACAATGAAAATTTGAGGCAAGTTAACCAGTGGTCCCGTTTAGAGGTCTAACCTGCTTTGTGTATTCTCAAGAAGAGAGAGAAAATTGAGGACAAAGCTAACGAGAGAGTCACCCTACTGTGTTCTGATACTAAATATAAACATAGCCCCTCTGCTCATATCATACATCATGGCATTACTTCAGACTATATTCGGTTTGAAGGGTAGGGCAGCCGTTGTAACTATACTTGAGACCTTAGAACTTATATCTCAAGGTGGGTGGCGCATTTACGTTGTGGATGTCTATGGGCTCCAGTAACCACTTAACACCAGGTGGGCTGTGAGCTCGTCCACCCATCTAAGTAATAAAAAAAAAACTTAAATAATTAGAATATCATAAATACCGACATATTATATACTAGGTTTCCTTACAGCTTATTAATGTGTAGATTTTGGTTTCAATAGTGTACAAAAATACCACAGGTTCCCTTGTCTTCTCTGCACATCAGACTAGATGTTGATGCCTGCATGTCACTCTGGAAGTTATTCATGTATATTTCAAGAATAATTTTTGTTAATTATGCTCCCATGTACTTTTTAGAGAAACTTACTTTTACTTTTGAAGTCGTCGTGGCCTAAAGGATAAGACGTCCTGTGCATTCGTGTTGAAGCGATGCACCGGTGTTCGAATCCCGCAGGCGGGCACCAATTTTTCTAATCAAATACGTACTCAACAAATGTTCACGATTGACTTCCACGGTGAAGGAATAACATCGTGTAATAAAAACCAAACCCGCAAAATTATAATTTGCGTAATCACCGGTGGTAGGGCCTCTTGTGAGTCCGCACGGGTAGGTACCACCACCCCGCCTATTTCCGCCGTGAAGCAGTAATGCGTTTCGGTTCGAAGGGTGGGGTAGCCGTTGTAACTATACTGAGACCTTAGAACTTATATCTCGAGGTGGGTGGCGCATTTACGTCGTAGATATCTATGGGCTCCAGTAACCACTTAACACCAGGCGGGCTGTGAGCTCGTCCATCCATCTAAGCAATAAAAAAGTAAAAAAAAGTGTATTTAACACACTCACTTGCCTATGTATAGACTAGCATTCTGCTCCAGTGTGATAGTAATTACTCTTGCCACTAAATAAAGAATGTTAAAATGAATAAAAAGATCACATCAGGTGATTTATTAAACAACTAAACCAGCTGTTTTTTTTTGCTTTTACCCATATTAATATTTTATCTCATCATAGAAGACATGCATTCATAAATTTACTCAGAGTACAGTCCCGATCAGTGTCGCCACAAATGACTTTAGCTGCTCTTAACGAGATTCAGCTCTTTAATGAGAATTAAAGAAAAAAAAAAGTTCAATGTTCATTGCTGTTTTTCTTTTACAGGTAAAGGACCTCTGGTGCCCGTTGATTCAGAAGTGACGATACATTACGCGGCTTACTGGGAGAAAGCTGTGATACCGTTTGATTCTACTTTAACCATGAATATGGGCGCACCAAAGGTAAATCGCAAAATTATAATTTGCGTAATTACCGGTGGTGGTATCTACCCGCCAGTAAGTAATTATGCAAATTATAATTTTGCGGGTAGGATTTATATTACACGATGTTAATCCCACACCGTGGAAGTCAATCGTGAGCATTTGTTGAGTACGTGCATTTCATTACAAAAATTGGTACCTACCCGCCTGAGATTCGAACACCGGTGCATCGCTCAACACGAATGCATCGGACGTCTTATCCGTTAGGCCACGACGACTTCTAATAATGCTAATGCCAATTTTAAATGCGAATTTTGGTGTTGTATTGTTTTGAAATTTCCTCAGCGACTGCGTTTAGGGACAGGGAAAATAATACCCGGTCTGGAGATAGGTTTGACTATGGTCAAAGGGCCACAGGCGCGTCTCAACTTGCTGGTGCAACCGGCGGCCGCGTGGGGCCCGCGCGGGGTCCCGCCCAGGATCAGACCGGAGCCCGCGCTCTTCGTCATCGTCTTGTATGACGTCAAAGACAACTACGCGGCCACCAGGTGAGCTTTCAGGAGCTTCTGAAGTTTGAACCTTTAGAGATAAGTAGGAGTGTTATTTATTTATTTGGGAAACAAACAGTACAATACAAACATATAATATTTAAAAAAATATAGCTAAAACAATAACCAAATATGTTTCCACAATCAAAATCACATATAATTAGAAAGTGAACAGAGAAGAGAAATTTAGAAATTTAAATTACAAAAAAAAAACAAAAGCAACACAATACGCACATATTGTTTTATACATCAACTTACACTATAAGGCCTTGTCCGCACAGCGATAATTCACCGCGAGGTTTTTATTCGCGCGTATTAAATTCCGCGATCGGAATTACACCTAGTACGCACTGCGAATAAAATTTCCTACTATTTTCGTCAGTTTAATTCAGTTTTCGGTTGAGACGCTCCTCCCACAATCTCGCCTTCAATATTCTATCGTGGTATGCTTTATGAAATTTGTCCCACAAGGGAGGTCTCCTGTACGTCAGCGAGATTAGTTGCTCCACATCAATCTCATAATTTTCTTGCACGGCCGCTGATCGGGCGGGAGAAGAAGCGCGCGACATCTTTTCAATAGCGTCGTTGCACGACTGAGCGAAACGCGCGAATTTTATTCCACAGTGCGAACATAGCCATACTTACTTTATACTTTATCGCACCGCTTCGCGTTCAATTTGCATCAAGTCACAGATTTTCTTCTCGCGCGATTTTTTTACCGCCAGTGCGGATACTCCTATAATATTAAATGTGTTACAAAATTACGAGAAAAAAAATCGCGTGGTGAAATATCGCTGTGCGGACAAGGCCTTAATATTGGTGGAAGTCAATCGTGAACATTTGTTAAGTACGTATTTCATTAGAAAAATTGGTACCCGCCTGCGGGATTCGAACACCGATGCATCGCTACACACGACTGCGAATTGCATCTATGTAAACATCATTATTTCTCACGCACAGATTTAACGATCTACCAATGGCGGAGCAGACTAAATACGAGGTCACATTGCGTACCGTCAACGCCTTACGCGCTGACGCCAAAGAGCTATACAAGAAAAAGAAATATGCGAAGGCCATTAAGAATTATCAGCAGGCCATCTCGGTTTTGTGTCTATCGCGTCCTGGCACGGCCGACGAGGAGGTAGACATAAAAAACAATAAAGTTAACGCTTACCTAAATTTGGCGGTCTGCTATTACAAGATGAACAAGCCTAAACACGTTCTGAACATGTGCGAATGCTTGGACAGACTTATTGACACCGAAAAGCACTGCAAAGCGCTTTACTACTATGGGAAAGCTCACGAAATGCTCGGCAAAACGGAAATGGCGATTAAATATTACAAGAAAGCTTTAAAATTGGAGCCGAAAAATAAAGAGATTGGCAAGATATTGGCGGATTTAGATACGAAGACGAAGGATTTTGCGGTCAACGAGAAGGCTATGTGGCTGAAGGCGTTTAACTCCGAGGTCCCCGCGACGAACGCGGTCTATGACGTTGACGCGACTTTCCAAAGTGACGTGTTGGACATGTGTCAAAGTTTGGCGGGAAGGTCGGAGTTTGCGAAATTCGATCTGCCCGTCGGGCTGACGAAAAACGAGGTGGATTGCATCAAGGGTATTGTGAGCGATTTCGGGTGCCTCTCAGTGGACGTCAGCGGTGAAGGTAGAAATAAAAAAGTTTGTATCGTTAAGAAGATCGTCTGAGCTTTTACCTTAGGATACCTCAGCTGTGAGGGTAGAAATAAAAATGTTTGTATCGTTAAGAAGATCGTCTGAGCTTTTACCTAAAGTTACCTAAAGTGATAACGTTCGCGATTAATTAAGTAATGATAAAAATCATAGTGAGCTTTTTTTTTTAAATAGGAAACCATATCGAGGGTTGAAAGGTTATTTGGTTAAAGCGACATTTATCTTTGTAATTAAAGGTCCGTTTTATTCGGTATCAGCATCGACGGTTCGTTGTTGTTAATTGAACTTTGAGTTTATTCATTGAAATAGCTGAACAAGTTTTTATGTTTTGTTATGATATTTTTTCCAAATTTTAAACTTATATGACTCTCCTGTTAAGTTGAAAAAATGTCGCTTACAAACAGTCTTTCACCCCTCGATATATTTATCTCGTGCTGAGGTGTGGAAATATGATTTACCTGCCAAAGCCCTACCTATAGATAATATTATATGCTTGCAGAACTAAAAAGTTCGGTAGCTATAAATGCATTTATTAGTTTTTTTAGGCGTTTATGTTTCCCAGTCAATTATGGACGGGGTGGGGGGTGATTTATTCGACCGTCAAGTGTTTTTTTTTTTAATACAAATTTTTTTTATAGTGGAGTCTTCGGTCAATGATAAAATCGGTGAGTTCGAACGTCTTCAGATCCATGTGAGTCGCAAGGTCTTTCCAATTGTTACGCGCTGGGGCTCGAGATAAATAAAAAAATCTACCAAAGTACAACTTAACACTGTATTAGCACTTAAGAATTTAAAATTCTCAGTTCGCTTCTTCCACTTCGCTTCAGGTGATCCGTTCGCTGTTTCGCTTCGAGTAGTTCCGATTACTGACTGACTGCGTGCCACCTCTGCAACGCTTATAGACGATACCACATCCCTAGAATTATCGAGAATATTCCACATAATTCGAGTATGTGTGGTTCCGCTATTTGATAATAGATGGCGTTGTACGCCTTGAGTTTTCTAGATGCTACTAGATCCTTCGATATTCATTCGAGTATTCGGCGATATATGGCGTTACTCTTACCGGCGTAACACAATGTTTAAGTCTGGCTTGAATTTGGATCGATATTTTTTTCTAAAGTATGAGGGTACACAGGTAAGAGCGTATTTAATACAGCATGTATGTATGGGTCTTTTAATATTTATATAGTTTTAAAAAATATATGTATTATTAATAAACATGAAAAACGGCCCTAGGTAATAAATAATAAATGTAATAAATCGGCACACAACCAGCAAGAAATCTAGAGTTAATATCTCGATATTAACTCTAGATTTCTTGCTGGGTGAAAGGCTATTTGGTTTAAGCGACATTTCGCTTTATACGCGACATGTTTGTAATTATAGGTCCGTTTTATTTGGTATCAGCATCAGTGGATGTTTTTATTTGAACTTCAATTAAGTATTCCATTAAAATAGTTGAAAAAGTTTTTTGTTAAGATATTTTTTTATAAACTTTGTGCTAGAGTGTTAAAAAGCCACCATTATTATGTGTATATACATTAAGTAACTATATAACATTAGATTAACAATAAAACAATTCTGACAACTTCGCTCGTCGCATTCCCGCCAAAACGTCAACGGAACATTTTTGCAGACAATCTAAAAAAGAAAACTATGCACGATAGTTCTAGTTTGGTCATGACAATTTATAAAATTGTCACTTTTAAAAATATAATATTTTAAAGGGCAAACTTTGTCTCAATCGTCATGCGTGAGACGTTGCGTTGCGTAGACGTCTATTTAGCTCCGTTGAGCACTTTTTGATTGGAGAAAATCTTATGGTTTCGCGTCACCCACAGCGTACCTGTAGCTATACAGGGTGAGTAATAGCAGTGTACCTGTAGCTATACAGGCGACGTATTGTACATCATTAGCCCTGTGCATACCTTCACAAGAGAAAGTTGGGTATACGGGCCGCGTGAGTGAACACTGCACTTGCATAGATCATGATTGCATATTAATTGTCATTTCAATAGTATTTATATAATAACAGAATTGAATTGTATTTAGATTTTGTACAGCCCGTAATTGAATAACAATTGAATAATAAATAAACCATAAAAACATGTTTAAGATTGTTGCTCGGAGTGCCAATAATGTGAAAACCAGATTGATGTTGATAATTTTAATTTAAACATTATCAATTATAGTTTTTCATTTCTATCGGTAGTCTCTATGACGGCCAATTTTTTTTAAAGTAATTTCATCATTGCCAAGAAAGTGCCAGTAACGTAAGAATAAATGAAAAAAAAACATTCATTATTAGCATATAAGCAATAGAAGGAAGCTGTCTTTTAAGTAGTTGAAGTGATATTACCAAGAGTGACGAAAGCGATTTTTTTTTTCAAATATTTTCGTACTTTAAAATATTTTAATAAAGTGATTACGTGTTTTTGTATAATTTGTGTTTTATTGTGTTCGTCTTACATAATAATATTAATTTCAGCTGTAATCCTGAAATTTGTAACAATACATTTGTAGACAACGTAAAGAGCGGGATCCAGCTTGAGACATGAGCGTTTAAATCTAGTTCTATAACACGACGGCTGCCCCGCCATTCAAAACGGAACGTATTACTGCTGTCCGCACACACTAGAAATAGGCAGGGTGATGGTACCTGCCTGTGCGGACTCACAAGAAGCCCTACCACCAGTAATTACGCAACAATAATTTTGCGGGTTTGATTTTTATTACACGATATTATTCCTTCACCGTGGAAGTCCATCGTCAACATTTATTAAGTACGTATTACATTGCAAAAATTGGTACCTTACGATGGGATTCGAACACTGATGCATCGTTACATAGGAATACACCGGACGTCTTGTCCTTTAGGCCACGACGACCTAACTTCCACACATTTTTGCGTCAGCTTTCATAAAAAAATATGGTGCCCATCTGCGGGGTTCCAATACCGCCACAGTCGCACCGCAGCCGGCATATTATCCATTAGATCACGACGATTTCAAATCATGTCACTACAAATACAGGCTTAGGAGGAAATAATTTTTAAAGAAAACCTTGTAAAAGAACACGGGCGCAGTTTATACAAATTTATGGGATTAATTAATGTTCATATATATTGATGTTACTACAGTATTCCACTTTTACGTAATTATTATTATAATTTACTTCATAAAAAAAAAGTTGGCCAACATAATGGGAGATCCATATGCCGCTTTATATAAATCCACGTGTCAATTTTTAAAAACGTCAAATTGTAAACAAACGTCAAATGTTCTGACTTGTGACGTGTATGCAAGTGGGAAAACTGGGGATTCTTTTAAAATTCAAAGAGAAGCAATATCTTAAGAACGTTGTATAAAATTATTATCAATAACACGATTCGATAAGGTAATTAGATTCGGTAAACCGTACACGTAACCGAGTTTTTAAGACTGTACTAATGAATTATTCACACGTTATCGTTTGAAAAGCGAATGTTTTTTCCGATTGTGTTCGAAAAAAAAAAAAGTTTTTAAAAGTTTCAGAAGATTTTTGTTTTATCGCACGCCCCAGTGGCTCTCAAACTATATTAATTGAGTTTGTTTTAGGCATTGATAAAATGTTGAGAATAATATTTTTTGTGGCGTTTTTGGAGTGTGTTTTAACTCAGCAATATCAGCAGAAAGTGGCACCTGGCGTACCGCCACAGAGCTATCAGGTAAGCGCATTTATTTTAACGCAAAAAGAAGTTAGGAATGTGAAAGTTGGATTGAACATCAAATGAATATAACTACCATTGGTAACATAGCCATTGGTAAAAGAGTATGCCCAGTCTCAAGGTAACCACCCCGAGGAGTGCACAATGCCCCTGAGCTATCAGCTGACACTGACAAAACTCAGCAAAACACATACGAGTCATACATGCATTGCGGCAATTAGTTCTGACCTGAATACACTTATATAAAACACTGAATATGCAATTTTTGTGTAAAGATTTTTTTATTAATGTAGTGAATTTACATGTTTTGCATATTTGTGTTATATGTTAAATTTACCCTAATTAATAGTGCGGAATTTCAAATCATACAATTTTACAAAAATTTAAGTTTGGATGCCATTAAGTGATTCTTCACAGTAGAAAAGACAGTAAAATTGTCTGAGTATTATAGTTTTTATTTTTATTTTTTATTGCCCTTGTAGACAGCATACGGCCCACCTGATGGTGAGTGGTTACTGTCGCCCATGGACTTCAGCAATGCCAGGGGCAGAGCCAAGCTGCTGCCTACCGCAATCTGCCCTACAATCGTCTGATTGAATTTACAGCTCCTAGTATGTGTCATTAGCCTTCAGGGGAAGGTACTGCAATCCTGCCTATTTATGTTGCATAATAGACCTGTGTGTCCAAGCGTGGTATAGCAGTTACATTATACAACTTAGATTGTAATTTACGCTTCGAGGCTCTGTCCTTAGGCCATAGGCCATCACAACACATTGTGATCTGTATAGACTCTGGTAACAATGCGGGGAAAATCTTTCTTTTAAAATACTGAGTACTGAGTACCACATAATAGAACCACTAATCAATATGTAATTCAATGTAATCTCTATCATTTGAAGTTGATAATAACAAGGCTTATTTTCTTAACAGTTAAGTACAATACATTATTTATAGTATGTTATGCCTTTAAAATATAACTGTTTTCTGAATTCTCGTATGCACTTAACCAAAAAAAGGCAGATTTTTTAATACAACTAGTTATAGGTTTACAACACACCCAGCATCGTGCAGTAATCACAGTCCGTAGTAGATAATACGGACAGCAAGGATTTAATTGCATTTGAACAATTGTCCTGGGCCGTTCATACCAGAAAGCATAACCGTTTTGATGTAGAAAAATATTGATATCCAACCTTGCATGTTCAACGTCATTACTAATTTCTGTATATATATATATATTTATTATTTTTTTATTACAGCAATATCAAGCTCCACCTCCTCCGCCACCGCCTCAGCAACAGGTAATGCTTATCAAAGTATATTAAGGTAGAGGGGGAAGAGGTCGGTCGGCAGCGGCTTGGCTTTGCCCCTGGCATTGCTGAAGTCCATGGGCGACGGTAACCACTCACCATCAGGTGAGCCGTATGCTCGCTGCTTCCAGGGCAATAAAAAAAAAGGTCGTCCTAAGAAGACATGGGTGGAGTGTGTGATTGACGATATCAGAGAGAGAGAGAGGAGTGAGTGTTGAGCTGACGGCTAATACAAGAGAATGGAAGAGAAAAATTTGCTGTTCAGACCCCAGCTAGTGGGGTAATGTGGAGAAAAAGAAGATTAACCCTTGAGACTTGAGGTGGGCTGTGAGCTCGTCCACCTATCTAAGGATTTAAAAAAAAAAAATACTTTTTTTATTTTTTTTTATTGCCTTTGTAGGCAGACGAGCATACGGTCCACCTGATGGTGAGTGGTTACCGTCGCCCATGGACTTCAGCAATGCCAGGGGCAGAGTCAAGCCGCTGCCTACAAACCTCTACCTCTTAACAATCCATGGATTCACCATGCTAGTGTCGGGTCTGTTGTGTTTCAGACAGCAATTTATGCAAAGAATGCCAGTGGTCTGTTGACTAGGTTTTAGGGGACCCTGTCAATGCGTATTATGCTAACCTCCATTCTCCGCCAAATTTAAAAGAACCTATTAGTCTTTTTTTTGGCTAGGTGGGTGGATGAGCTCACGGCCCACCTGGTGTTAACTGGTTACCGGAGTCCATAGACATCTACAATGTAAATGCCGCCACCCACCCTGAGACATTAATTCTAAGTCTCAGTACAGTTTCAATGGCTGCCCCACCCTTCAAACCGAAATGCATTACTACTTCACGGCAGAAATAGTACAAGACGTCCTACCACCAGTAAAAAAGTTTGTAGTAAAAGTAGTTCTAGTAAGTTCTCTAAGGTTTTCGCTAGACATAAGTCATAATCCTATAGGGTTTGGCATACTTTCCTTGAAACCGGTGTTAAGTGGTTACGGTAAAACATAGACATCGCAGGGTCAATTTCGCAACCTACATTGAGGCTTGAGGTCCGTGTCTCAATTGTATAGGAAATTATGATATTTGCAGCTTTTTTGGGCAGCACATCTGCATCGTTCTAGTTGTTCCTCGCAAGTTAAGTTAAATGCGTATTTCATTGGACAAACGCATACCTGCCCGTAGGCACTTGTCTCTCGTCCCTCGTCATGAGTACACTGCCCATCTTACCTTTTTACAGTTTAGGGAAATATATCAAATCTCATTTAGTTGGGAATGAATTTTTCCACACCCACCCCTGTCACTAATAGACTATAAAATTTGACCTTAAAGAATACATCGGCTACTGATTGCTACTATCGAAAAAAAAAACGATTAAAAAGATAAAACAAATATTAAGTCTTTGATAAGACACCGTGAGTGATAAAAGCGAATGATAAATAAATACAGCGCCACGCTCTCACTTAAGCATCGATCAGGACTAGTGGGTTCGATTAGAAGACCCTTAGCGATGAGACAGTGCAGGATTCAAATCCCGGACGCCAATAATACATGAACACTAACGACCTAAATATTAACTCTACTACCCTCAAACTTTTGTTATGAAAGTTTGAGGGTAGTTAGTACAGTATTCAAACGACGACGAATAACATTAGAGCTATCTGCGCAACCGGAAACTGAAGTATTCGTACCGCCCGAAATAATATAATGGCAGCAATAAACGAGAGATTAAACAGTAAAAGTACATAATTTTAATTATATCTTGAGTCTCGCGAGAATCGAAGTAAATACCGAATAACATCGTAATGCAAATGTTTTATGATAAAGAGTTAAACGAGCGAACTAACCCATAGACAAAGGCCACCGAGTTTCTCGCTGGATCTTCTCAGTGGGTCGCGATTTCGATCTGGTGGTAGATTTTGCGAAGCACTACTCTTGCTAGGGCTAGTGTTAGCAACACCATGCATTCCGTTGAGTCTCACATACCCCGCGCGCCCCTTTTGCGCGGGGACCTCGTAGGAGGTTCGGCCCTCTACCCGAAAAAAAAAAAAAAGGGCTAGTGTTAGCAACACTCCGGTTTGAGCCCTGTGAGCTCACCTACACGTTAGAGTGAAACTGAAATAGCCTCTCAGGGCTATCAGCATAGGTAGGGAAAAAAGCCAAAATATATAAATACATAGAACAGATTGCAAAACTCTCTTGGGTTGAGCCCGTGAGCCCATCTACCCGCGCGTAGCTGGAATAGCATCCTAGGCAACGAATAGGTAGTCGGGATGATCGCACGTGCACACATCTGCCCGGGCTGGGGCGCAGTCTCTATGCCATGAAACTTACAATTCCACTGTCCGCTTCACCTCTCAATGCAACGGCAGAGATTGTCACTTTTGTTATCGTTATCGTCCACAAAAAGACGACCGACATCGAACGCTCGGCAGACGGGAAAATTCAATGTTGAGGGTAGGTTTTTTTAATTAACGTAAACTAATTAAGATTTATTAGAAAAGACTGTTAAAACATATACGAAGTGTGTATACCAGCAATTAGTTCGTGAAGTAAACTAGTAAAAATGTATGTTCTGTAAACTGCGCACACAAAGAAACAATCGAAGTGTCTGATATGGACGCACACTAAAGAAGTCTAGGATGGAGGGTAGGAGATGCGTGATCCATGAGAGAGCGTCATGCCGTTTGCCGTCACGGCACACAATTTTACTGTCAAGACACGCCAATAGGTGTTTTACATGAAATAACTCTAGTTTCAAAATATAATTCATCTTAGTATAGTTTCACTGAATCACTATAAAATATGTAATGAGGAACAGGTAGACCTAAGAAGAAATAGAGGGATTGCGTTGTAAGAGGGGAGTGTGCGAAGAAATGGTATATGATAGAGGAGTATGGAAGGAAAAAACATGTTGTGCCGACCCCAGGTGACTGGAAGAAGGACAGGAGAATGATGACTACTATATCTAATGTTTTCATGTAAAGCAAGAGATGCAAAGTTGCCAGTTCAATCTTGTTACCTTTAGCTCGTTATTCGATTTGATATTCCAGCAGCAACCACCTCAGCAGCAACAATACCAACCGCCCCCACCACAACAACAACAATACCAGCCTCCACCTCAACAGCAATATCAGCAGGTGCCCGTCCAACCCGTCCAAGTACAGCAAGCAGGACATACCCACCATGGAGGTCAGTCTTTTGCAGCTCTGTACTGATTCCGAGCTCTTCTCGTACACAAACAGACACAGATCCGACCTACATTCAGCCGAGTCCTATACTACACTACCACAGACACAGTTCTCTTCAACTTTGTACTAACTCCAAGATCTTCTTTGTACTAACTCCAGTATCTAGTCACTTATGTATATATTTCATTTCAGATCCTCAACTATTGAACCCTGCTAATATTGCACAAGAAAGAGAGTAAGCTATTTAAATTTTCTAAAACTCGGTCGTGTAAGAGCTTTTGATCGTTATCTCGTGTGCCTTATACAGTTTTCGGGCGGGCGACTGAACTCTACCCACGAAATCTCGCACCAAAAGTATATGGGACTGCCGTAGACACTTACTCAACGACTTCTCTACCCTCTAGTTCAGAAGTTCAATCCCCGCCCAAGACTTACCTTTTACAACTGACATAGGTTCTTGTCAAATTTTATCTTGTCCAAACTTACCTCAACGTGTAACACAGAGGTATACTCAAATCGGTTTAGCTATGGAAGTTCCGACAGGTCACTGGTGTGCGATTTACAACCAAGGGAAGATCTTCCACCGAGCGAGTGATATTGCTCAGTAGGCCGATGACTTAAATATTGTTCGGAACTTGTATATATGCAAGCTTATCTTGAAAATGTCGTTAACGAGATTCAGGCATCTGTCAAATATCTTGTGTTGTATGATGGCTACCCGCGACAAAGCTATTTCTTAGCGACGCATAAACAAACAAGAACCATCTTAATCTCTAGAAAGATTTGGAAATCGATGATTTCGATAGATCAAGTTAAAAAAGAAAGAAGGAAGCTTCAGTACACTAAACCATAGACAATAACTTACCTTCCAGTCACATCCAAGAGCACATGGACGTTCCCATAGACACGTCGAAGATGTCCGACCAGGAATTACAGTTTCACTACTTCAAAATGCACGACGCGGACAACAACAACAAGTTAGACGGCTGCGAACTGATAAAATCTCTCATACATTGGCACGGTGAGTATATTGAGGAGTCTGGCGGGCGCTTCCGTTAAGTAGTTTAACGGTAATGACGGATTTGCAAGTCTAAGGACCTATGAGTGAAAGCTTCGTATTTGAATTTTTAATAGGACATCGTTCAGTTTCGAAACGCGATGTCTGATGATGAAGCGCCTTAAGCAAACCGGGCGCTATATTAAATAAATCGAGATATATGCGACCGAATTCGGCGATTACGCCATTCATTGAGATACGTTTAGAGATATGGTCGCCTTTTGCGTTTAGTATAATTAGTTTTGAAGGGGATAAGAAGGATATAGAAAACTACCGGGTTTCGTCACTACACTAAGTATGTCACTCGCGTATTCTCAGCGAGTAATCATCGCGGACTATTGGCATCTCGACACCAGACACCCGGTATTATTCAAACGAATCGATGATACTCAGAGGCCGGTATTGAATGACCTCTCTTCGAATTAACTGGGCTTTCAATGTCATGATCACATGCGGTTCTTTATGTTGTGGTAATGTTTGGTATTTTCGTTTTGGGTTAATGTCTTGTGTTCGTCTGTTTCGTTATGTCATAGCGAGGGGTGAAAAGCCATTTTGTTTGAGCGACATTTCGCTTAATACAAGACATTTATTTTTTTATATATTTTTTTTTATTGCTTAGATGGGTGGACGAGTTCACAGCCCACCTGGTGTTAAGTGGTTACTGGAGCCCATAGACATCTACAACGTAATTACCGCCACCCACCTTGAGATATGAGTTCTAAGGTCTCAGTATAGTTACAACAGCTGCCCCACTCTTCAAACCGAAACGCATTACTGCTTCACGGCAGAAATAGGCGGACCCGTGCGGATTCACAAGAGGTCCTACCACCAGTAATCTCTACCAGTACTTTGCAAATAATGGTCCGTTTTATTTGGTATCAGCATCAACGGTTCGATGTTTTTAATTGAACTTCAATTAAGTTTACTTGAGTCCATACAAATAGCTGAGTATGTTTTTTTGTAATGTTTTTATTTTCAAATTTCAAACTTTAAATAGCTCATCTGTAAAGCTGCAAAAATTTCGTACAAACCAAATATCCTTTCACCTCTCGATATTGCAAAATTGCATTTTACATTCACACGACATTGGGTTCTATATATTTCGGAGACAACATTGTTTGTAACATCTAAGTGACTTAGTATAGAGCTAAGTCATTTAAAGTCAGTTATGTAGTAGAGCTAATTCGTAAAAATTCAAATTAGAACGAATATCGGGAATTTGGCCACATTTAGTGTTGTTGGATCGATCGAATTCTTTTTAAGGACGAATAATAACTACATTATACATATTTGCAATTTAATATAAGAACTTTATTTTCAAACAATGCGTGCTAGCACGACGGCAGTTCGAAACAGACTGAGGAATACAAAGCGAACCTACAAACGGATACTGAAACATTTATCAACCACCCACCCGCATTTAAAAAATAATAATAATAATACCGAATACGATAGTAACAATGTAACAGTTAGTAAAGTTAGTAATCGTGCTCGCGTAAACAATGACCGAAGATATCAAAGTAATTAGAACAGTACATACGATTGTAATTAAAACACGACCTGCCATCGGTAAATTCGAATGTACCATTCTAACACTCAATACTCGATAAAAAAAATGGCGTGCATGCAACTTTGTGCACGTAAAAGAAGTGAAACTTCTTTTGCGATGTGTAGTGTCGTGGTTTTCTTTATTTCTCATTCTTAAATCAAATTTCTCTTGTGATAAGGAATGCTGTGTATAATAGAAACGACCTAGCTCGCTTTGTCCTCCCCCTCTCCACGGTCGAGTGGTTCGCGAGACGCTCTGTCTATTCTCTCACTCTTGCTCTTCCTAAATTCTATCTTTTCTCTCTAGCCGTAACGAATCTATCGCTAGCTAAATTCAACGTGCTTAAAGAAGTTTCACTTCGAAAAATAGCCGCCGATGCATTAAAAACTTCCAACTCAATAGTTTAATGAGAGATAGTTTCAAAAGACATGTACCCCCCCCCCGTGTTCAGAACAAGGACACAAACAGGAGAATCCGCCCAGCGAGGCTCCGGTTGGCGAGAAGATCTTCAACGAGGACGAGCTGGTTAATCTCATCGATCCGATCCTGAACATGGACGACCACAACAGAGACGGCTACATAGACTATCCGGAATTCGTTAGAGCGCAACAGAAGAGCCAAAAACAGAACTGAGAGGAACGGCGGCGCGTGCAAAGGAGATTGCGAAACTATACAGTATTCGACCGTTAGATCTTACGACTTCCTGACCGCCATTTTGTTGATGTCCGGCAACCATTCCCCTCGTGACGTCACCGTTGATGTACATTGAAGGTTTTAGCGCGTAACGAAACTCGAAATTGCACTCGGTTACAAATGAAGGTAGTTTGAAATAAATTTAAATGTATCGATGCAATAGAACAGATACCTTAGTGGCGTCGCGCATTGCATTAATGCATTACTCGACCGGCTTAGTGGGTTGTCGAAGCCTAATTCGTAATTCCGCATACAACCTATGTGCTTAGTGCGAATTTTTTTTGACGTTCTCGATAGCGTAAAAGTTAACTCAAATTTGTATGCAGTTGAAACAGCGTCTCTAGCGGCAAACGCTCCAACTCCATACACAAGTAGAGTTAACTTTTACGCTATGGAGAACGTTAAAAAACTCGCATTAAGGACACTGATAAAGATAAAGAAGCCTTTATTAACAATCTTAACTCGTATTCAGGTACATTCTATTAGTGTAAACGTTTGACATCGGCAAAGATTGTTTTGCTTTCGCATAGGCCTCCCCCAAATCCTGCCATAAGTCCGGATCGTCGCATTTCCTCATCCACTTAGAGTCTGGTACGGTGTTTATGTCGTCCATCCAACCTGACGTGGTATTAATTTTTTTTATTGCCCTTGTAGGCAACGAGCATACGACCCACCGAATGGTGAGTGGTTACCGTCGCCCATAGACTTCAGCAATGCCAGGGGCAGAGCCAAGCCGCTGCCTACGGTACCGTTGTTTCTTACTTGTCTTATTAGTCGATTCGCAACGAGTCTTCGATGAAATCGTAAGCAGTTCTTTAATATCGATAAATTAATAAATAAAAAGAAATCGATATTCCATTGTAGTACTAGGGATAAATACGTGATTGATTGATGTTCCGGGAAGCCGCATTCGATAGCGAATCGCGATCGCCGGGCGTTGACCTCGCGCGTTAACCGAATCTTCTTTGTGTTACATTGCGTGCGATACTAATGTAACAAACAAATCTGTATTTTTGATCTTTTGAAATAATTCCAGGACGTTGCGTACAAGTCAAGTTTCGCATCTTCAAAGATTGCCATTTGTTTTTTTTTTATGTGACTAAAAGGACGGATTATATATAGATTAAAAAAATAAAAAAAAATTGTTAAAATATATTTTATAATGAAAAGAAACAAAAGTTTTATATATTTCTGTATATATCTGAAGATAATAACTAGTAGTTATTAAAGAATGTGAAACGATTGAAAATAAATATCATAAGCGTAATTATATTATTGTATTAGAATTTACAACATTACTTTTTAATTATGTTAAAGACACAAAACAAAAAAAAAAAAAGAACGCCATTGTCAATTCAATAAAAACTCGTCGCAGGTTACCGAGTCAAAACATAAAGCTATTTTTTCTGGTATATTATTAATCTTGCATTTTTAACCCTATGACTGCCGTGTAGGTCACCGGTGCCCTACGCGGCGCACTGAAGTAGGTATGTCGTATCTATATATTAATACGTGAAGCAAAAACTTTATACCCCTTTCTACGAAAATTGCGCAGACGGAGGAGTATGAAATTACTCACACTTATAGAGAATATCGAGGAGTGAAGAATGCTAAATTTTTTTAAAAATTATTCATTGATATTACATTAAATCAATAAAAAGAACATCACTCACACTACCGTGTATTTGACAAACACACCCCCATTTATATACTCCTTGTTTATTGTCAAACTTTTGCTTTATTGCTATGGTCAAATTGAGAATAGGTTAATATTTTTTATTTGTAATATTATTTGTCTATAGTGTAGTCTTGGGCGAAATTTGTGATTATAGAAGTATAATAAATAGCCTTTGACAACAGAACCATAGTAATATTCAAACTTATAATTTCAATTACATAATTAGAGACCACTAGTTCTGTTAATAAGGCACCGGAACATTTAGTAGACTCTTGGAAATACGAATCCGAACGATACTGAGAATGAATCTATTTCTAAGAGCTACCTAAATGACTAAAACGTACATTAACAAACAAAAGAAGGCAAAGTTAGGCAATCCAGGCGCCTTAGTAACGGAAATTGACGTAATTCAGTGCGCCGCGTAGGGCACCGGTGACCTACAGACCAATCATAGTGTTAATGTCATTATGGAATAACGTAATGACGAATAAAAACACGCTACACTAAAAAATCGTAAAAATTAGTTTAAATTTTCGTCTTTAAGTTCAATATGTGCTCGTAACTCTAGCAAAATCCTTTGAATAACAGTGACGGGCATTAATCAATTAATATTTTAATCATCGTAGTAATTGATTGAAAATTTAATTGCAATTAATCTGTTAGTTCCATATTGCAATTAATTTGACGAATAATAATGTCTGTCTGGAACGCTACGCGATCTCTGTTCTGGTTGTAAAATTGTGAAACTTGAATTATTAATATCAAAGAAACGCGTTTTATGTTTTTTAACCAACCAAATGATCTTGATTCAAATCGTTTACACACATTTATGTACATTATATAAGCGTGCTCAAAAACTTTTACAATTTTATTATAATGATAGGTACCTAATAAAAAATAATGGATACCTATATCTCAAAATTACGTTTTTTTAGTATTAAAACTGTCCAAGTCAAAATACATACTCGAATATTCTTTTATTTTTTTCTACATATTTTTCTCTTCTTTTATTTCTATGTTAATTACCTATATTGACTATATACTTTGTTCTAATACTCTCGAATTGAATCTAGTTACAACTGTCTTCTAGAATTTTCTCACGAGATCTCTATGCACCATTCTTAAAGTAAGCCATTGCTTTAGTACTGGAAGTTTAATGTTTCAAATTGTCTTATTGTTACGGATGTTCCATAGGGTCATTGGTAATGCGACTTCCGGTAACATGATTGTTTAATGTTTTATTTCATATTTAATATCAAAATAACCGATTGCTTTTTTTGTTATTTAAAATAGATTAATGAATATTCAATATCGCCAGTTGAATTCAATAATGACATGTTTGACAGTAGATAGCTGTCATTTGTAAATGATGTATATTTAAAAACTAAAATATGGCACTGAGTGATTATTGCATTCAGCCAAAAGTAGTGTTAATTCTCTCTCTCTCTTCTCGCTATTTGTTCGTCTGTTGATTTCAATTGGTATATGTATTTTTATAACAGTAAATGAGATTAAACCCTAAGTTCAAACGGAAATCCTTTAATCTTCCCATTTTATATTTAAAAAAATTTTTATTGTAATGTGACTGCACTGATAGTTGTGAATATATTGTTGTATCAATAAAATGTCTATACGTTATTTTAGTTTTAATTCCTGGTTTTCTGTTGAAGATGAATACGTACTTACGGTGATCAGTTTAAGGTTTCATTTTGCTTGAGCGATTCATTCATTATTTATCATCGTGTCTCATTCATCTGGCTACATGGGACGCAAAAATCATAATGAGGGGGTAAGGCTATTTGGTTTAAGAGACATTTTTGCAACTACAGGAGAGCCATTTAAAGTTTAAAATTAGGAAAAAATATGACAAAAAAATCCTTCAGCATTTGAATGGGGTAAATTAATTGAAAATCAATTAAAAACATCGTACTGTTGATGCTGATACTAAATAAAGACGGACCTTAAATTACAAAGATAAATGTCGCGTGTTAAGCGAAATGTCGCTTAAACCAAATAGCCTTTCATCTCTCGATATAATCATTAAGTGACCGACCGGTGGTGCACTAGTTAGCGGCCCAGGGTCACGGGTTCGATTCCCACATCGGGCAAACATTCAACAACAACAACATATTTAAACGTATATAAATATGTTTATCATTCTCCGGTACCCATAACACGGAATCAATCCTAATTTCGAATCCGATGTCAGTGCGTGATTTGTTCCCAATTATTAATAACGAGGAAAAGCTTTGTCGAAAAGCTTTATTGGTGGCGGAAAGGTAATTATGTTTATGGTCTAGTCTCGGACGGTGGCGGTGGAAATATTTATTGAAATTGTTAACATGAATAACACGAAAATTATATGACTTTTTGTGTCCCTCCAAAGTTACCGAAGGGAAGTAACTGGTGGTTTTGTGAATGTAAAGCACGCCCTACATGAGTCTAGGGTGAGTACAGCGTTTATTTATTTATTTATAGTACTTTTAATATAAGTTAAAATTAGTTAAGTTATAGCAGCGTCATCTATCGTCAAGGAGAGTGACGTTTTAATTTTATTGATAACAGCGACATCTGTTGTCGAGGCAGAGCAGTTTTATTTGGCAGTGTTCAATCAGCTTGAGTGCGCTCTTAAGTTTTAGTAAAACAGAACTGTTTGCTGAATTGAGAGAGATTGTAGGCTCTTTTAAGTGACAAATCGCTCTCACGTAATAAGAACGTGCTGTTATTGTCTTAATTTTTTCACGTTTTTAGGTCAAGTCGATAAAAACCACAGTGTGTACACAGATGATCAACTGGAAGCGGTTTTGGAGCAAGCCCTCAAACATACAGACTTGAACAACGACGGATATGTTGATTATTCAGAATATAGATTTAATGACTACAAGGCGAAAAAGGCGCGACAGAGTATCGAAAAGGCCTAAAGTTTGACATATTACACTTCACTTAACTTCAGCTGTCAAAATTGTCACATGTTACATAATACAATTATCATCTAACTATTTTGTACAAAGTTATATCGAAATTTTAAAATTCATTGCTAATTCAGAAGCGACAATAAAACTCTATTAAAACCGTATGAATACACATTAAACAAAAATAATCTTATATACAAATAAAATAAATAAATAAAAAAGTGAAATTTCAGAAGCGACAATAAAACTCTATTAAAACCGTATGAATACACATTAAAAACAAAAATAATCCTATAAATACAAAGTAATTAAAAAATAATTAAATAAACAGTGAAATTTATTTTGAAAGCTAACGCATACACAAATAGATGCAAACTTGTTAAACTATTTTCATATCTGGCGGTAGTTCTTTTGACGTTCAACAAGTACCGGTAAAATGGGGCGATTAGGGATTGAGAGGCGAATCGGGAAAAAACCGGGAAAATCTTTCGACGCTCAATATAAGTTTTATAGTCGTTACAAAATCTTCCATTTTTTGTAGTTTAATAGTAGAATGTTGAAAGTTCACAAAACAACTCTGAATATGCATGATAATAGCTGCTAACTTATAAAAAATCGCGTTTCAAATTAACTTCCTGTGGTGGTAATTATTTTAGTACTAGAAACTTTGCTCTCTTTTAATTATTTGATAATAATAGAAGACGACTATGATTTATAAACGTTATTTAGTGTTTGAACCAGCATATATATTAAAAGTAACTCTCAGT